TAAACACACTTGAGTTTCAAGATCATAATAAGGAACAGGAAAACACCTGGTTGAGCAGAGTGAACCAATGGGAAAACCAAATCAAAGGTGTAATTTTATGCACTGCATAATTAGCATTCTCACTACTAGATATTGAGACCAAGGCCCAGATACACAAAGGTATTGTGTGCTAAACTCCCATCAATCTGTGCATTAGGTACCTAAAGTACTTTGGGGGGGAGTCTAGGACCAAAAGCTTTGTAAGAGTCAAAGAAGACTTAAATGCTTATTTAGGTAATTAAACTAATGAGGAGTTTGCTTAGAAACCCTCAGGCTTCATGACATGAGCTGCTACTAATTGACAGGAGCTATGAGGTTCTCCAATAAGCAAGTTATTCCATAATTGCCCATGTGGGATTCCTTGCTCCTTCCTTAGAAGCAGCTGGTACTGGCGCCTGTGGGAAACATTTTAAATAGCAAGTAGGGGTTTTTGTTTTTGGGTTGTTTTTTGTTGGGGGGGGGGGTTGGTCGTTTAAGAGAAACTTGTTTAAAAACTCCTTGCTGCATTGTCAGGTCAGGTTTGTTTTACACACTTGTAATGGGAGTTAATCGCTGCAGTTCTTTCTTTATAGCAAGAAAGAACACATCAGCTAACATCCGATTTCCCCGCTGTTAACTTCATTAGAAGTAGCTTTGACCTAAAGTTAAATTTTCATTTTTAAATGAAGTCCCACCAAAATCAAGTGCAGCTTATTCCTTGTTGTTTAAGTCTGCATTCCTGGTTTTGTACCCCTCAGCTCCATTACAAATGATTTAAATCCTAAATCCCCAAATCTCTCCCACAACCCTATGAAAAAGGCTCTATGAAGATCATGATGCCACCTAAAAAGCTTATCTATTGACAGGATGTACGTTCAGCTGTTGTGAGGACCCATTCCAACCAGGCTGAGCATGTGGTGTTTTGTATCCTGCTCTATTGATTATGCACTGATGGAGGTGGTTGCTGCAAAGCAGTCGGTGGATTATTCTTGGGCTGTCTGTTTCTACATAACCCATTTACTGCCATCATTATCACCTCAGATTGCAACAAATTACACCCTTGAGCTTGATGGTGTAGGTGCAGGTTGACTGTTTTAGTCATTATTTGGTGCTATTCCTTGCTGCCACTTTCCACCCTGTGATTGTCATAAATAATCTTGTTTCTGTTCTGATGCCCAAATAAGGTGTTAAGCCTCAATTTGCTTTCAGTGTGGCTATTTTCTTTGTCTCCTGGCTCTCTTCTCAGGCTCCTTCAAGCAGCTGGGTAGAGGCAGTTTCTACTGGTTTAGATTGGAAAAAACAGAGCTAGAAATGTCAGGACATTGAGAGACCTAAATTTTCCACCTTCAGCTTGAATGAAGCTAGTTTAGTCTGGGATTATTTCCAGGTTTTAGCTTAACTTCTTACATTCCCTGCCTCTTTATATCTGAGGCACCATTGACAAGTCTGTTGTATACCAAGGGTTGAATCAATCTATGCAAGAGTGCCCCCTTGCCATTCCCCACCAAAAAAGCATATGCTCTATTCCTCCCTAGTGCTATGGACCTGAGTAGAGTCTTAAAGATTCTCCCTGGAAAATAGTTTGAGCAAAAGGAGAGTAGAATCTCATATGTCCTTTTTTTTTTTTCCAAATCCATATGAAACAACAGATCTAAATGTGGGAATCTATCCCAGGTGAAAAAGTTCTTCACTAAACATACTCAAAATTGGCCCAGCCAAGTTTCCAGCAATTTGCTAGAAAATGTTAGGACCAGTGTGGACCAGCACCTTCTAAGACCCCAGTACCCTTGCTTCTGTGCTTCCATGCCAAAACTGACATCTCCTCCTCCTCCTTGCATCATTAACTTTCTTTCCAGGCACTTACTGAAATTAGCTAACTAAGGCAAACCAATGAGACTTTCCCTTTTGTCTGTACCAGTGATTCTCATCCAGGGTGCTGTGGCACCCTGGCATGCCTTAAGATCCTTTCAAGGCTGCTGCAGGGTACCATGCAATGTTAACATAGTTAAGCATACAAACATGATTCACAAGATAAACCCCACAGATTTCAAATAGGAATCCACAGTGTTAGAAATTCTGACCTGTGGTGGTCATCTCGAGTTCTTTGCAACAGAAGAATTGTTCTGTTTTTCTGTAGTAAAAAAAAATGAATGAGAACTTAAAAGCTGGCATTTTCCAAGGGGTGCCTTGAGCCTAATGAGGTTGAGAACCACTGGTCCGTACCATGAACATGTGAGTATGTGGTTCTCCACTGGGATGGGCTTCATAAAAAGTAGCTGTAATAGGAACTGCCCTACAGCAAGTGGCGCTTTTTCTAACGACCAGGTCACTGAGTCTTACTAGTGCAGCTGTGGCAGTGAAGAATTCTGGTCCCAATTATGCTGTTAGGTAGAGAGCACTAGTGCAGGGAAAGTGAGAAGACTTTATTTGTGAGTTCAAGTTCTTAAGGGCTCTTGAATAGTTCATTTCTTCTTTATTTCATTTGGTGACATATTAATGCCTAGTGGTGCAAACAGTTCATTCGTGGAACTTTGCTTTCCATTGTCACCATCATCATCATCATCATCATTAGAAATAAATGCCTGATACATTTTGTGGAAAATGTGTCTTGTCCATGTTCTGAGTCTTCAAATGCCTGTCAGGAGGCTGTCTGATTTAGCCCTAACAAAAAACAGCAAGAGTTCAAATCTGCCCTCTGTAAGAGAGTGGTAGTGTGTATATTTTAAGGGAACCTGGGAATACTCTCCATCTGTTTGAGTGCAGATGAGACCAAATCCTGTCCTATGTTAGCCAGTAGAGAGTATGTTACTTTCTGTAGTATTTCACAGTAGGGGTGTGCAAAACGGGCCATATTAGATTTGGATTCGGCCTGAGTTGGGGACAGTGATTCGATTCGCTGGTTCGGATCACTGCCCCCCCGATTCAATTCGGTCGAATCTGAAGATTCAGTGCTGATTTGGAGAATCAGCAATTTGGCCATAGACACAGCTTTATGTGGGTTTTTTTTGTTGTTGTTGTTTTTTTTCCCCATATAGCTTGAGGTACCAGGTGTAGTTCGTGAACACTGTGATGCTGGGGCAGATGGAGCGTCCCACAGGAGCTGGGGGGAGGCTACATGCTTGGTGGCAAACCCAGAAGTGGACCAGAAGTACTTCCAGTCCACTTCTGGGTTCACCAGGGAGTGCGCATGGGTCCCCCCGCATCCCTCCCAGCTCAGTGATCGGCCATGAGGGGACCCCAGGTGCCCCCCCTCCCCCCCCCGACCCAGGAGGCATCAGTCACTGAGCTGGGGGAGTGTGGGGAGGGGCCCCAGCGCGCTCCCTAGCAAACCTGGAAGTGAACCGGAAGTGCTTCTGGTTCACTTCCGGTCCTACTGCCGAGCGTGCTGGGAGCCCTGCGCTCCTGTGGGACGCTCCACCGGCCCCAGCATCGCAGCACTCACGAGCTGCACCTGGTACCTTGAGATAGACACAGCTTTAAATGTTTTTTCTACCTATTTCCAAATCAATTCAGAGGGTTCTGCTTTGATTCGGAGAAATTAAAGGGTCTCCTGATTGGATTTGGATTTGGAGATTTGGCCACCGAATCTCTGCCAAATCTGATCGGGGATTTATCACGGCCCTTTTTCACAGGTCAAAAGCTCTGTTGGCATTCCCCACTGAAATCATTGGTGTCATACCTGCTGAGATTATGGCTCCACTTCTTTAAAGTTGGGTACAAACTTCTTTTCGTTTTATAACACAAATGGAAAGACCTGACAGTACCACTGACAGTATTGGTAGGGAGAACAGAGTGGGGAAGCCTGCAGGTTTTTCAGAAACCGCTTGCCAGTTTACTTTTTAGTAGCATGCTGTAGTGCATACCACCTCTGTCTCCCCTCTCCATACATGTTAACAAATAATGTTGATACTTATCTAGATATCCTCAAGAAAGATCCAAGCCTGCTCCCAATGAAGTTGTGTGAGTTTTCTGTTGACTCCAATAAGAGCAGGGCTCAGCCCATCCTGTGTGTGTTGATTAGTCTCAGAGAGCAACTGTGAAGGAACTCCCAGGATGAGGGGGAGGCTTCTCTGTCTGAGTAGATGCTGGCCCATCCCTGACAGCATAATCCTGTTCAGAGTTAGAAATTAAAATGTATATTTTTAGGTGTAAAGAAAGCTATTTAACATCCTAAGTTCTGCCCTGATGGACTGAGATTTGCACATATGAGACTGAGTGGAATTGGGTCCAGGTTAGACAGATTACCAGAAGTGCCCAGTGCTTATGGCCATTGACATAAAGGCTCAGCACATCTGACCATAATGCAACAAGGATACAAGCAAACAAACTAGAAGTGGGATTTTTCAACAGAAGTCTTGCTGACAGTTAGTAGGGCATGTGATCTGAGGTGCTTTTTGAAAACCTCACCTTAAATGTCTTTAAAAATATCTGAAATCCCTTCTTCATATCCCTGCTAAAACCATTGTTGAGGCCTTTGGAGCTCTGTTTTGCCTGTAATATCTAAAGCAATGCAGACCTGGCCAAAAGAGAAAGTATGGACATGTCAGACTCTCTGGCACTCGAGTCTGCGGTTAGTAGCAAATGGGGACCTCCTCCCACAACCAGGGTTCCTACTGAAGCCAATGGTGGTCCTTTGTGCAGAGGGTTCCTTGGACTGGACCCATACCCATTACAAAGAAACGAATGGTCCTTCTGCCAAACCTTCTGTGGGTTGTACTGGCTTTCTAGACACCAGATGCTTGCAGATTCCCTTCTAGGTGAGTTTGACCTTGAGCTTGCTGCCTTGACTTGCTATTTACTTCCTACAGATGGAGGTCATTGTTCTCCTGGGCATATGATTAAAATTTTTGTGGGGAACACAGAGCCTTCTGAAAGGCAGGCTTGGGTGCTGCTTGTGTTTATTCCTGAAGCTAATACATCATTCCTTATCCCAGTGTAGCTCCTGTCCTCCTCCCCAGTGACATGTTACCATCTATCTGCAGAAATCAAGGAGATGGAAAAGCAAACGAGAAGGGACAGATGCCAACAACCGACCCATCAAAGCTGCTGGGAAAGTCATCATCCAGGACATCTCTTGTCTGCTTCCTGTGCATAAATCGCTAGGAGAGCTATACATGTGAGTAGGCAGGCTAAAAAGCTGTGCTTCTAGTCATAAACTCAGGTAGCCCTCATTGTGACTACTGCATTCTGCAGTTTTGAAATCAGTCTTCATCTTGTTCTATTTAAGGTTTTGAGCACCTCATCCTCCCTTCTTTACTTCTACCTTGTATATTCCTGTGGTATTCCTGTCTGTCCAGGAGTGTTGACTTGCTTTCTACAAATTTCTGGAAGTGAAATGTCATCAAACAAATAGCTGGCAAAATAATTGGCGCTTAGGTCTAAATACCAGTTCTAACCATAATTGCTGAAGATTTTGTATGTGGCCACTACAGAATTTCATCATTTGAAATAAAAATAATCAGTATGGACAGTTTTCACAACATCCTTTTAGCTTCTTTATGATGAAGGAACAAATCCAGAAATCTCAACAAGTATGCAGACTCATGAAAGCTCTGAAGAGTTGTTTTTGGCTTGTGTGTATTTGTTGACATCAAAAATCTCAGGGCTGCCTGATTTTGTTGAAGACCTTACATTGTTGTCCATGTATTTGTATTGTGAACATTCTCACTTTAACCAAAAAGGTGAAGGAGTTAAATTTTTAGCAAGCATGGTATTTCCCCAAAGTGTTAATTAGTCATTGAAGTACAAAAGTAAATAAATGGATTAGAAACTTGTTGCTCAGCTTTCACTTTCTTGCCTCTGGTAATACTGTCATTACACTGCCTTTTATTCGTACATAATTTTTCAGTCTGGACAGGTCATGTCTAATGTCTGATTGATTGATTGATTGATTTTAATGTGTCTCTGTCTGGAAAACCACAAGTCTTATCTTTTCCTTCTTAGCCATCATAAAGAACCTAAAAAAAAATGGAATAGGCCTACTTTTCTTTCTCCTCTGCAGATCCTCTTTAAAAGACCTGCAAGAATTTTCTTCTGTGAGGCTACCTAGGTGACCTGCTTTCTGTTCCATTTGCTTGTTCATTTGTGATATCTTGGCTGTCTTTCTTCCTAGTACTCCTCAACAGGAATAGCACAGTAGATAGAAACTCTTGGACATGTAAGAGAGCTGCTAACTGTTTCAGTGAGTAGGGAAGCAGCCTAATATTCTTCAAGTATCTTCATACCTTTTCAATAACCCCTCAGTGATGCAGAGAGCCTAGTCATAGTGACAGGGCCTCCTGCCCAGGAACACACTGAATGCCAGCCTGCTTCTGTGCTGCTTAGCAACAGCTTTACTGCTTTGGAGATGCTCCCCCCGCCCCCCAACTCTATAGTTGATTACCAAACTTTAGAGAAGCTGCTCAGGAAACTGAATGGTAAAATCATTTAACTGATCAGCATCAAATCTTAGCATGTTGACATACTGGTGACATAATGACAGAAGGGGAATGTGCTGATCAATCTGACTTTGCAGTGAAACTAGGAAATTCTGTCCAGATTGTGAGCAGTAGCCAGCCCTGGCATTGTATGTACCATGTTGATAAGAGCTGAACTCTCTCTCCTTCCTTTTCAGACTGAATGTGAATAACATTCAGGAGACCTGCCAGAAGAATGCAGCCTCAGCCCTAGCAATTGGACGTAGGGATCTTGTACAGGTATTGTGTTTGCCCTTTGTCTAGGGCAGTAGTTCTCAACCTTTTTCAGATTCAAGGTATCCTTCCATAACTCTTCTGATTTTTAGCATCATCCCAGATGAGAACCACCATTAACAAAATAACTGGTGTAACAAGTCATTTCTGTGTCCTGGGCATAGAGGGGGATGGGGAGAGAGTTGTGTTGAGAGCAGGAGAAGAGTTGAAGGGTCAAGCAGAGCCATACCTGTCATAGTTTGTCACAAAACTATATGAAAACAGAAATGTTGAGTTCTGAGAAGACCTGTGTTCTTTTAATGCATGCACACTAGCATAAACATTTCCTGATTCACATTAAATGTAAGAAGGATTAAACAGCATGTCAAAAGAAAAGCTAACTGGAAGGATTTTATCATATCTTGTCTATGTTTATGCTATTTTCCCATAATGTTCTCCAATGTCTAAACCTATCCACTCCACCCTGTACTGCAGCATTACAGGAGTGTCTTGCTCCACATTTTAGGCTTGAAGACCTGAGCACAGATTAACAGGAATTCCCCTTCTCCATATGAAACCTGCTGTATAACAATACAGGAATTGTTGTCCTACTTTCTCATTTTCCTCTCATTGTCTCTGCTTCTCAGCTTAGGCCTGTCTTTCTTTATTTTTCTTCCTTTTCCAGGCTTCCAGCTTTAAAGTGAGTTGCTTTTCATTTTCCTGCCTTTCTTTTTCTTTGTGTATTGAGCATTCTCTCTTCCCATCAGCAGTTGTCTTTGTTTTTAGATCTCACTGTCCTTCCAAAACCAGACTTCCTAATCCCTTTCCTTGTCAGCAATTCCCACTTGCTTTGAATACTATGTTATGTTCTTATCACTCCATCTCAAAAAGATAAAGCAGAAAACTTAGCTGTCAGTTTAACCTAAACCAAGAACGATTGTTTTTGGGGAAAAAGAGACAGAAAGGACTGGGACTGTCTAGTTTAGAGAAATTTGAGAGGATACAGTTAGCCCCCTCTCCCCAACTGCTTAGAAGTCAAAAAGCTCTAGATTAAGCCACTGAGTCCAAAGTCTTACTGAGCCTTAAGGCCCATGTGTATGGTGTGGTTAAAAAGCATGCCCAGTTTCTATGGCCTACAATTCACAAGGGAAGAACATGGATAGCGTCACATGCAACTGCTTTTGACTCCCTAGTTTTAACAATGAGCTATCCATGTACCATCAAGGGCAGTACTTGGTATGAGTCCAGAAGTGAGACTTCAAACCCATGTCTTCTGGTGCCATAACAGGACACTTAACTGCTTTGCTATAATGTGCCAGTAAGCTGTTAAGTAGGAAGGTTCATATTCTATGTTTTAGTGGATGTTTTCTGTCTATATAAATGACAAATCCTATTGTGAAACAGATTAAGGATTTAGACCTGGGACATGTGGTGGCAGCATGTTCCACAAGATATTACATTTTTATACAAATCATATCTCAAGTGATCAGTGTGAAATATTATTTGACAGCTCTTGTTTTTTCATTACAACAGAGCATCAATAGGGTCATCCAATTTGCTACACAGGGGTCTAATCTTCACCCTCTTTTCTCTAGCCATGGGCTCCCTGCTGCATCACACCAGGTGGGCGCCCCAACACCATGAACTGCACTGCACCATGCCTCACCTCCCCTAGTATAGGGCCAGAAAGTAGAAGCTGTAGGAGGGACAGGGAACCCAGAGACTCCCTCTGCTACTGCAGCTGGAAGAATTGAGGGGAGCGGTGGCTTGATGGGAGCCAGGGGCCATGAATTAATCCCTCATGGGCCCCGTGCAGCCCATGGGCCATCAGTTGGACATCCCTGAACTAGATGGACTCCAAATCTGATCCAGTTTGGCAGTTTCTACACTGGTAACTGTGTGCTGGGAAGAGCATGGGACTCCTTCCACAATCGTTAGCCTTGCTTTCTTTCAGCCAAGATGCAATTGGTTGGGTGATATGTCTGACTAATCTATTGTTGTGAGACGCAAGTCCCAAGCCATAGTGGCTTAACCTGTTCCTATCTTTAGTAAATCTGTTGTACCTGTTAAGAAAACAGGCAGCATGGGTTCAGAGCCATCAGCGCTGGATTATTTTTGTTTCTAACTGTATTTTGATCTGTTTCTTCTGTCTCATAGGTTTGGTCTCTGGCTACAGTAGCCACCGATCTTCGTCTTGGGCCAAAACCTGACCCAGATTTGGAGATGCCCTGGGCCCAACATCCATTTGGACGTCAGCTGCTGGAGTCTCTGTAGGTTTCTGAAATGCAAAACAAAGAAAGGGTAGTGTCTGAAGGCACAGCCTTTTGTAGCTATAAGCAGCACTATGTTGTTTCAGGCTTAGATATGAGGAGCCTTTTGAGAATTCCAGTGGCTTTAAAAAAGGAGATTTATGAGCCCATGGCTTCATCTCAGTACTGAGATATACCTTTTTAATACAAAGAAGGGAAACTTTAAATCTACTTACTGCAATTAGGAGGCAGCTACTGGGTTCTTGCCAAGTTTCCACTTGCCCCTTGGTTGAGTTAAGGGTAGCTTCTGCTGCTGTGATAAGATTGTATGGTTCAAGATATGGGTGCAGCAAGAACTCTCTATTCATTGGCACTGAGATGACACAATACAGTAATAACTGTTTTGCTGCTTCCCTCATTACCTTCCCAACTGAGTACCTTGGTTTGGTTGCAGAATGAATTCATAATCAAATTAACTGCTGCTCCAAGTCATTGCTGTCTACAGTTATCCATAAATTTTTCATTTGGTCCCCTCCATTCATGGCCTGATTCACTCTGCTACCTTTTACAACATGAACCTGATGATGATCAAAATTTTTTCAGGCAGAGGGTTGGGAGCTGATTGTAACCTCTTCCAAAGCTTAGAATTGTATAATGTGTTTTTGCTTACTGATCTGGCAGAGTTTGCTACTTGAACTCTTGGTATCTGCCCTTGATCTTTCTTGGTGGGAGGCAGGTGTCAGAAAGGGGCACCGTCTATTCCTGTATCATTCTTAAACCAGTACCATCTTTACAGCAGTGCCTTTTTGGGTGGTTTTGCAATCCAGAACTCATTACCTGGGCCTAGGCAATGAAGGGAAGGAAAGGGTGAGGACCCTTATACACCTTAACTCAGAATTCTTCCTCATCCCTAATAAGACGCCTGCTGCTCTACCACTTTTCTTTAGCAGGAAGGTGGAGAACGCTTTGCTGATGCTGCTTCTCTGTTGGCTGGGAAAACTTCTTGCTGTTTAGACCATAGTAATGCCTGTAGATACTAGTTAGATCAGTGGTCTCCAACTTTTTTAAGTCGGAGATCACCTTTGGAATTTAAAAGGAACCCAAGATCTACCCCTCTCCCCACACTGCCCTGCAGGTAAGTCTGTGGGGAGAGAAGGGGTAGCTTTCCTCCCATCCACTCCAAACTTCCCTACAAACAAAATCACTTTAGAAATAAAACTTTT